AGAAATAAACTCTTATCTTACTTAAGCTATTGTTATTTTGGTTTCTGTCACTCTCAGCCAAATTCAACACAAATTGATGAAATGGGTAAGCAAATCATGATGAAAGAAAATGACTATGTCTAAACACAGCTTAAAGATAAAAAGTAGTTCCTGATATGGTTTCCCTCATTTTTCTTCCAAAATGTCTATGAAATGCAGAAAAAGAGGAAATTTGAACATTTGAAACCAGAATGGACAGTAAACCTATCTGAGAGAATTTTATAATAATTCCTTCCTTTGTTCATTCATTTATTAAATAAATACTTTTAAAATACCTACCATGTACCAGGGTGTTCTAGACCTAGGGAGTGCTGTTGTTAGTTGCTGTCAAGTCAATTCTGATAAAGTGATAGACATATATTGTAGATCAAGTACCAGGGAAGTTCTCTTGGAGCAGGTAACATTTGAGCAGAGACCTGAATGAAGTGAGGGCGTTCATACAGGTATTTGGAGGAAGAGCGTTCATGGCAGAGGAGCAACATGTGCAAAGGCCCTGGGATAGAAACATGCTTAGCATGTTCCAGGAAGATGGTGTGGCTAGAGTGGAGGAAGTGGAGAAAAGATGTGGTAGGAAAAGATATCTGAGAGGTAGTTAAGGGCCAGCTAATATAAGAAAAATTGTTAGGAGGTCACATTTAACTGGACTAAAAAAACACACTTGGCAGTCCATTAGGAAAAGGAAAGCCCCCGTGAAAGCAGATGGGAAGACCTCTTGTCCCTTCCCAACTATTTACCCTAGTTCAGAATCATAACATCTGTCTCCATTAGGGGAGCTCAATGTCATCAGGAAAGACCAATCAATAGAAAAGAACATCATGATTGGTAAAGCAGAGGGTCAGCAAAAATGAGGAAAACCCTCAATAAGATGGAATGACAGAGTAGCCTCAACAACGGACTCAAACATACCGATGATCAAGAAGATAGTGCAGGACCAGGTGGTCATGAGTCAGAGCCGACTGAACAACAACTAACAACAACAACATCCCCATTAAAGAACTGGGCATCCATTCCTCTATTGTTTGGGTGTTTTCTACCGAAGTGCCTCTTTATACAGTCAGGGGCTGCCATCTCCAGAGAATGTGTACGATTGACATCTCTGGCAAGTAGCCCTGATGGCACAATGGTTAAGTGCCTGGCTGCTAATTGAAAGTTGGAGATTCAAACCTACCAGCCACTCTTTGGGAGAAAAGACCTGGCGATCTACTCATGTAAAGATTACAGCCTTGGAAACCCTAGGAGGCAGTTTTACTCTGTCACATGGGGTTGCTAGGAGTCGGCACACAGCAATGGCACACAACAACAGCAATATTCCTCTGGCATAAGGCTGACAGGAGTAGAATGAACTAGCAGTGCACACAGTGTATTTTGGGAGGGGTGATACTTACAAGAAAAGCTCTATAGCTTGGGAGGAGATGGAAGAACCCCAGATGCAGTGGATGCTGCATCCTGTAGCTTTTATGATGCTATTTCCTCATGAAAGTGTGATAGTGCCAGGCAACGGGAACAGGAGAAAATACCGTCTCCATCCAAGACAGTCACAATAAATGCAAACCTGATTATTACTGGGTATTAGGATTCACCATGCCATCTAGTCACAAATTTGAGAACCTAAGGGAAGAGAAAAATAAGGTGAAAACCGACATACACACTTGGTCTTTTGGCAAATACGAAGTCTGGAAATTATTTTTTTGTTTAAGGATGAGTAATAGAAAAACATATGTGTCCTATGAAAAAATTCTGTGAGGCAAAGGAAAGGGAACATTGTTTTGAAGACCCAGAGAAAGAGAAGCACAATAAAAATTTGCTCCTGGGTTATGAAGAAGTAATGAAACTTGAGAAAACTGCTTGGCATACTTAAGAGGATACAAAATGACAAGATTCTTATGAAATTAGAGCAGAAGAGGTGAAAAGATTTTAGAATGAGACAGAAAGGGAGATTATAGAAAAATTTCAGGGATATTAAAATATAACAGAAGTAAAATCTGCATTGGAAGCAGTAAAGTGCAGCATTAACATGGCAGAAAGTGGAATCAGTGATATGAAGGACAAACTTGACTTCTTAGAATGCACAGTTGAAGGAAAAAGAAGATTGAAGTAAATGATATAGAGGATAGACAGATTTTATTTAATAATTATAGGTGTTTCTAAAAAAGATACTAGAACAACTGGAACAACAGCAATAATTAAAGGTATAATTAAAAAAAAGAAATGAAGACCTGACTATTCAAATTGAAAGGACTCACTGTTCCAGATGATAGCAATGAAAAGAGTGCCATTCTAGAAATGTCCTGGCAAAAGTTTGGAATTATGGGTATAAAGAAAAAAATATTGATTAGCATTCAGCCTAAAGCAAATTACTTACAAAACCAAACCAAACCTGTTGAGTAGAACTGCCCCCATAGGATTTCCAAGGCTATAAATCTTTATGAAAGCAGATAGCCACATCTTTCTCCCTTGGAGCAGCTGGTAGGTTCGCACCGCCTGCCAATCTTTCAGTTAGGAAACCAAAAATTCATTGCCATCGAATCAATTCCAACTCATAGCGAGCCACTAGGGCTCCTCAAGTTACTTACAAAGAAACAGAAAAATCTGGTTGACCTCAGACAGCTCTCTAATAAGAAATGCACAGAAAAAATATCTACATTTTTTGGGGGGAGGTGGCTGGGGGAGAGATTGTGACCTAAGAATTTTTTATCCAGCTGAATTTTTTCTCCTATGTGGAAGCAAAAGATGAATAAGGTGCAAAAACTAGAGCATTCATGTACTCCTCTTGAAAACATTATTTGAAGACATATGCTAGAAACCTGAAAGATCTGATTAAGGAACAGGGTACAGATTGTATTCATGGCATTATATCAATGTTATAAAGCAAGGGGGCATAACTAGGGGAAAGAGAGGCTGTTTCTAACAGCAGTACTTCCACACCATCACTTAGGCCAGCCTGTTCTCAACAAATTGGAAGCAATTATACAATGCTAGCACTTAATAAAGGAGCCCTGGTGGCACAATGGTTAAGCACTCAGTGCTAACCTAAAGGTTGGTGGTTGGAGCTCACCAGCTGCTGAGGGTGGGGGCGGGGAGGGGGAGGCCTGGTGATCTCCTCCCATAAAGATTGTTGTTGTGTCCTGTCAAGTTGAGTCTGACTCACAGTGACCCTATTAGACAGAGTAGAACTGCCTCATAGGGTTTCTAAGGCTGTAATCTTTATGGAAACAGACTGCCACATCTTTCTCCCTTTGAACAGGTGGTGAGTTCCAACCACCCATCTTTTGGTTAGCCGAACACATAACCACTGCACCAACGGGGGTCTTTGTGTTATGATTACAGGCTGCTAAAACATATATTTAAGAAATAAACAAACTTCACATGGTGGGACAAATTCCAAGGCAGATATTTAGTTAAATGATTGAATTGCTGGATTTACCTTCTGCTTCTCTCTTTTATTTCTGTTTGAAAATGTTACACAAATAACACCAACTTACAAAAAGTAAGAGCTGATAAAGCTTTTCTCATGCACTGAGCTGGGCTAAGGAGTCCCTGGATGGTACAAACGGTTAATGCACTCAGCTGCTAACTGAAAGGTTGGAGGTTTGATTCCACCCAGAGGCACCTTGAAAGAAAGGCCTGGTGGTCTATTTCTGAAAAGTCAGCCATTGAAAATCCTGTAGCGCTCAGTTCTACTCTGACACACATGGAGTCATCAGGTGTGGGAATCAACTTGACGGCAACTGGTTTGGGCTTGGCTAAATGCAGTCTGTGGATAGTTTACAAAGGATCAACTGGCAAATTAGAAAGATGTATGAAAATGAGCAAGGACACTTTGCTGGAGGGTCTATTTTAGAAGAAACACCTGAAAATCGTATTACTTTCCAAGTGTGACTCATGTTATTAGTAATATTTCAATATAAGCCACTTAAAATATGTCTTGAATGCTGATACTGTAAATCATCTTATCTTCTATATGCCTTCAAGTATCTTCATTTAAGTACACACTTGTGTCTACATTTAACATCATCTGCATTTAGGCTCTACCAAGTATAGCACTGTGATTCAGATAACAAACTCTGAAATCAGATCGGTTTTAAAAATCTTAATCTCCACCATTTTCTTGGGCAAGTGACTTAATCTCTCTAAATCACAGCTTCCTCATTTGAAAAATGGAGATTAAGCCTATCTCAAGGGTAGTAATAAGAATCACACTAGTTAATACATAAAGTACCACGCATGGATGTATCACATCATAAAGCTCATTAAATAGTAGGTATTGTTATTAATATTACAGCAACTACCGTTTCTAGCGGATGTAGGGGATGAAGGACAAGGCAGGCAACTAATAGCACAAACTTCTTCCTCTTCTTTATCATTGCTTACTTGTCAAGCGACTGTGTCCCCTGCTCACTGCAGACAGTCACCCTCATGGCCCGTGAAAAGATCAAATATAAAAACTCCAGTCATATATTCCCTTTAGGACACGGAATGTTGAGCTAGAAAGCTAAGATTAAAGGCATGGCCATTGCCCTTCGACACACACTCCCCTACCTGTCGCCGGCTCATTTAAATAGTGCTTTCTAAGCGGGTGCCACTTGGTGTAATTTGCGCTGACTGCTCCCTGCGAATTCGTCGGACGCGGCTGGAGGCTCGATCCTCCCGGATGCCACCTGGCCAAGTGTCCCGCCGCCTCTGCGTTCCCCATCACCCCAGCCTGGCACTTAGGGAGCGCTCAGCGAATCCCAGATAGGGTTCGAGGGGCAGCTGCCAGGCATCCTCTGCCCCCACCTTCGCGGGCGCTCCGGCCGCGGGGATGGACAGCTGCAGGACGCCTCCAATCCCCGCAGGGCGCCACGCCCGCCGCGCCCCCGGCGTCCGGGAATAAGAAGTGAGCACAGGGCGACCGGAGCTCCAGCTCACAGCTAAGACCGTGCGGCACAGGGCGACCGGAGCTCCAGCTCACAGCTAAGACCGTGCGCAGCGGCGTTTGAGCGCAGGGCACCGGCGACAGCGCAGCCATGGAGGCGTCACGGGGCATCGGCACTTTCGTGGTGTGGGACTACCTGGTGTTCGCCGCGATGCTGCTTGTCTCGGCGGTCATTGGCATCTACTACGCCTTCGCGGGGGGAGGCCAGCAGACCTCCCAGGACTTCCTGATGGGCGGCCGCGGGATGACAGCCGTGCCGGTGGCGCTGTCCCTCACCGCCAGCTTCATGTCGGCTGTCACCATCCTGGGCACCCCCTCCGAGGTCTACCGTTTTGGGGCCATATACACCATTTTTGCCTTCACCTACACCTCTGTGGTGGTCATCAGCGCAGAGGTCTTCCTCCCGGTGTTCTACAAACTGGGGATTACCAGCACCTATGAGGTAAGGGGAGAGGTGGACCTTCAGGCTCCTGGAGGGATTTTCTAGGGGGACAAACTGTGAACTCACTACCTTGTCAAAATCTCTCCTTGTCCAGGTTCTTTCCAGCTTCTCCACCCTCTTTTGGGGATCAGAGTCTTATAAAGGCGAAAAAAGCTTGGGACTTATTCTCTTGAGTTAAAAAAAAGAGGCTTCCAGAGTAAATGGAGTGGATTGGAGTAGTTAATGCTAGCTGAGGCCTTTTCTGCTTTTAATATCTTTGACTCAGAGCCAAAGGGAAAGATTTTAAAACTTTTTTTATTGGGGAGCGTGCTCGGCTGCTAACTGAAAGCGCCACTGGAACCCACTCAGAGGCTTTGTGTGAGAAAGACCTCATGATCTGCTCCGGTAAGGATTACAGCCTAGAAAACTCTACGTGGGGAGTCCTACTTTGTGACACTGGGGTCGCTATGAGTGGAAAACGATGGCACCCAACAACAAACAAATCGTTCAAGTCTCAGTTCCTCCTCTTTGAAATGAATCCCCGTGTTCTAGACCCTCAAGCGCCATTCGCTTTCCCAGGATAGTTGGTGAAGAATTTGCCCTCTTCACTCCCTGACCCTCACGTGCCTTCCACGGAGAGCCTGGCACCCGGTTGGTTAAGGTGCTGTATCCTTTGTACTTGAGTTTGAGAGCACATTCTACCACTTACTAGCTGCGTGATCTTGGCAACTTATTTAACTCTTTCTGCCTGTTTCCTCATCTCAAAAATGGAAATAAATAATAATACCACCTCCCTCCATCTGGTTGTTGGGAGGATTTAATGAGATGATGCAAGTGTCACATTTAGAACAGTGTCAGGCCCAGAGTAAGTGCTGGATAAATGTTGGCTATAATTACTCTTTTCTAAAGAATATTTTATTGAGTTTTTGGTGAAAGTTTAGACAGCAAGTTAGGTTCCCATTTGAGAACTTCCACACAAATTGTTCACTGGCCAAACCAAACCCATTGCCTTACAGTTGATTCCGACTCGCAGCTACCCTATAGGACAGAGCAGAACTGCCCCACAGGGTTTCCAAGGAGCGGCTGCTCGATTCCAATTGCTGACCTTTTGGTTAGCAGCAGCGCTCTTAACCACTGTGCCACCAGGGCTCCGACATTAACTACGTTTGTCACAATGTCTCAACATTCTTTTAATTGTATTCTGGTTGTTCCCTTTCCAGCACTCTAGTTTCTCTGCCCCCTTATCTTCTCATCTTTGCTTTTGAGTAATTGTTGACGTTTTGGCCTCATACCGATGGTTTTTAAGTAGAGCACCAATCTTACGGGTAGCATCCTTTATTTTGTGTGCCACCGTGCTATTCCACGAGAAGGTGATCTCAGGGGATAGACTCGGTTCTCAGTTTAAAGAGTGTCTCAGGGCAATAGTTTCAGGGAGTCCTCTGCTCTCTACTGTTCCATTGGCTGTGATTATTGTGGTGGTGGAATGGTCACATGATCATTGGGGAAATTTGGCTACAAGCTTCTGACTTCTATCTCTATGGAAAGATGGACCATTAAGGAAAATTGCTGTTTTCCCTATTGCACAGGTCCACTGGTTAGAGATTTTCTCAAGTTGTTTGCAGGAAAGGGTTTGCAAAGATGGTGAATGTCAGATTTAGTTTAAAGGGCTGCTGAATGGGAGTGTGTGTGTACGGGGGTAGGATATGAGCTCAAAGTGGTAGGCCTCAGTAGTCTCTCGTTTACCCAGGCACCAATCCTTCCTCCTGTGCCACTCTGGAGTACAGAGAATAAGCCAGCTAAAATCTCCTCTCTAGTGGGCCATTACCCCCCGGGGCTGGGCACCTTGTTCTCAGCAGCCAGCCCCGTCCTCTAGTTTATGCAGTCCTTGCATCAGTTCAGAGCCACTGGAAGGTGTTATCTTAGTGTGGCTGGCTCAACTGGTGCTGGGGACAGGGCCCCAATGGCACAGCAAGCGTAGGTGACAAACTCTGCCTGGGTTCTAGTGACGTCATCTGGGCGAGGCACCCCTGGGGCAGCATTGCCTTCCACTCAACCTGGTCACTGTGTCTGGGAGAGTTCAGCCCATTACCTTCAAAGTGAGCAAGATGGAATTTCTCTGTGTTGCTCAGAGATGACAAGCTGGTGTCCCAGGTCAAACTCAGTCCTAAATTGTGTTTTATTATTATTATTTTTTTGCTGGCGGGTGGGGGGGTGGCACATGTGGTGTTTTAACAATGAAGAAGAAAAAACAAAACAAAAACCCATTGCCACTGAGTCAATTCCAACTCATAGGAACCCTATATGACAGAGTAGAACTGCCCCCATAGGGTTTCCAAGGCTGTAATCTTTACGCAAGCTGACTGCCACATCTTTCTCCCACTGAATGGCTGGTGTATTCAAACCACTGACCTTTCATTTAGCAGCGAGCGCTTAACCACTACACCACCAGGGCTCCTTCCAATGAGGAGAAGTCAAATAAAATTCCAGATTCTGGATACTTTTTAAAAACTCAGAAAACTGGCAACTCTGGGCCCACATTTCCTTGTGGCCACAGGCACCCAGTTCACTGCCATTGCTCTCCCTATTAATTTCCATATCCAGGCCTTACTGTGTTTGTATGGTTCTTTTCTTCTGACAGAGAAATCTTTATCTGCAATTATGTCTTTATCGAAAATGGAAAAGGGAAAATGGACCGGGGTGAAGGACGTTCTTGTTTCAAGGGAAATGTGAGAACCTATTTCCTAGTTTTATGTTAATATATGGCCACGCAGGAAGTGTCACTCATGTATGTTATCTGATGCGACCTGGAGACATTTGAGTTTGTGAGCCCTGATCTGTAGTTAACCAACCCCAAGATGTGGAAATTGTTTGAAGAATCTGGCAAGAGGACTTCAGTCCTTACACATGAATGCTGCTCTCATAATCACCCATCCATGCTTCTTCTGGGCTGCAACATTAACTCAACCAGAAACAGATTTCCCTGTGGCGGAGGCTGGGTTAGCATAGCTTCCAGCTAAAAATGTTTGGAAAAAAAAAAAGCCAATAGGTACTGTATGATTAATACATACTAGGCACTGGGTTGCACATTTCACATACATTATATGACTCAATAGGAGTCCCTGTCCCTGGGGAGTGCAAATGGTTAAGCACTGGGCTGCTAACCGAAAAGTGGGCAGTTCAAACCCACCCACAGGTGCCTCAAAAGAAAGGTCTAGAGATCTGCTTCTGAAAGGTCACAGCCATGAAAACTCTATGGAGCAGTGCTACTCTGCACATACAGGGTTGCCATGAGTTAGAATTGACTTGATGGCAACTGTTTTTTGTTTTTAAATGTGACTCTGTACTCAAAACAATCATCATGAGGGAGGTACTATCAGGGCCGCCTTCTGCAGAAAAAGAGACTCAGTCAGTTAAGCTTCATAAGAGAGTATAAACAATGTAGACACGTGCCTAGAGGCTGTGCAGCGGTGCATACTGGCTGCTTCTGAAGGCTCACACACAGCTTCCCAGACTTAGTGCAGAGAGAATAAGAGAGGAGTACAGGACACAATGAGGTGTGGGCAAATTGAGGGTGTCCACACTAGCGGTTGCCAGGCAATTAAAGACAGGGAAGTTAGGGAGCATGCTATAATATATCCCTGCCAATTGGTCATGGCAAAGACTCTCTCGTGACATATTTTTTTGTTTTATGCTGAGAGGTGGAGCCACCTCATACAGAATAAACAGTTTTGCTCAAGTATGCAATATCTCCCTGCTTACATTTCTTTAACTAACATTGACTGTAAAGAAGTGTTTTTTGATATCTGTTTATCACTGCCTTCAAAGTGTAGGCCTGATAGGTGTTTGGCAACTTCCAAGTCCACAGACTGGCAAGAAATGTACTGCAAGAGACCAGTTTAATTCACCACTTCTTCAGGTTCTTTCTGAATCTGGCTACATCTGTGCATTTGAACTGAGCTGCCTAGACCTTATTTTTATATCAACAGAAGTGTTACTGTCTTCAAGTTATTCAAAGTTCTGAGGACAGGGAGAGATCTTGGTTCACTATAGGCACCTACTATTAACTTTGTGGCTTTGTCTAGAAGTCCTCTAGCTATTCTCTAAGGTTACTCAGTGACTCTGGGCTTCTGGGAGGTCTCCAGGTATTTCTTCAGCAGCCCAGTAACTACGACTGAGATAGTGACAGACTTTTTTGTTCTCTCTTGAGTTGGTCTTGTCTGAGTTTAAAGCCAAAGGTTTGACTGGGTCTAGCTAATAATGAAAAAAAAAAAAAAAAAATCAAGACATTTGGTTCAACTTGCCACAAATTTTTACCTCTGTCACATTTTTCTCTTGTCTTTAGTCTCCAGCAATTTGGATACAGCTACTTAGAAAAGTCAAAGTGGCTCTGTCCATTCGTGTCCCTTTGTGTATAAGAAGAGTTTCACTAAAACAGCTCTGAGGAAATAACATTGCCCTGTTTACAGGATCTGGACACTCCTTCAGTCTTCTAAAAATCCTTCAGAAATCCCCAGGAATGATTTTGATACATGTAATTCACTGAGATTCATGTTTTGAAGGCCTGAGGATTTGAATACCACCAGCTTATTAATGCTTTACTTTTGAATTAATAGGTTACATAATTTCTGCAACCATTTATGTCATTTTTTAGTCTCAAAAGCCTTGCAAAGTAAGGAAGGAAAGGATTATTACTGTTACCTTTATTTTAAAGATGAGAAAACTGAGATTTGGATGGTGACTGTCCCAAGCTCCTGGAGTCAGTTGTGGACCTGGGACAAGAGTTGGACCCTTCTGAAGCACTACGCTGAGCTTCATATTTTTCACTCATCCGTTATCTGTGGAGGTTCTACTATGTGTAGAGCATGTAGACATGGGATCAGTTTGTTTATTTATTTATTTGCAATAATGTAATGGTTATGTGCACAGATTTTGGTATCAAATGTTCTAGATTTGTAATGTGGCTCTGCCAGTTATTAGATTGCAAACTTGGTGTTTTCTCTGAGCCCCAATGTTGCCAATTC